GAGTACGGCGCGGTTCACCTTGGGTGCACCCACACGGCAAGGGCAGGACACGCGGGGGGTCAGGCTTAGCCAGCATGGGTTCAGGAAGGGCAGGTCCTGTTTGTCCAGCCTGATCTCCCTCTATGATCAGGTGACCCGCCTAGCGGATGAGGGAAGAGCCGTGGATGTTGTCTACGGGACTCCAGCGAGGCATTTGACCCCACCTCCCACAGCATCCTACCAGACAAGCTGGCGGGTCACGGCCTAGACAGGTGCACCCTTCGCTGGGTTAGACTGGCTGGATGGCTGAGCCCAGAAAGTCATCAGAAATGGATTTAAATCCAGTTGGTGACCAGTCACAAGCGGTGTTCCCCAAGGCTCAGTACTGGGGCTGGTCTTGTTTAATATCTTCATCAAGGACCTGGATGAGGGGATCGAGTGCACCCTGAGTGAGTTTGCAGATGGCACGAAGTTAAGCGGGCGTGTCCATCTGCTTGAGGGTAGCGAGGCTCTGCAGAGGAATCTGGGCAGGATGGATTGATGAGGTCAATCATATGAAGTTCAACAAGGCCAAGTGCCAGGTCCTGCACTGGGGTCACAACAACCACACGCAGCGCTGCAGGCTGGCGATGAGTGGCTGGAAAGCTGCCCGGCAGAAAAGGACCTGGGGGTGCTGGTCGACAGCCGGAGGAATGTGAGCCAGCAGTGTGCCCAGGTGGCCGAGGAGGCCAACAGGATCCTGGCCTGCATCAGAAACGGTGTGACCAGCAGGAGTAGGGAAGTGATTGTGCTCCTGTACTCAGCACTGGTGAGACCACACCTTGAGTACTGCGTCCAGTTTTGGGCATCAGAGCGTAAGACAGACATTAAGGACCTGAAGCAGGTCCAAAGAAGGTCAACGAAGCTGGTGAGGGGTCTGGAAAACATGTCTTATGAGGAGCTCCCGAGAGAACTGGGGTTGTTTAGCCTAGTGAAGAGGAGGCTGAGAGGAGACCTTATTGCTCTCTACAACTACCTCAAAGGAAGTTGTAGTGAGGCCAGTGTTGGTCTCTTCTCCCAAATAACTAATGACAAGACAAGAGGTAATGGCCTCAAGTTGCACCAGGGGAGATTTAGATTGGATATTAGGAAAAATTTCTTTACTGAAAGAGCGTTTAGGTGTTGGAACGGGCTGCCCCAGGAGGCGGTGGAGTCACCATCCCTGGAGGTGTTCAAAAGACGTATAGATGTGGTGCTTAGGGACATGGTTTAGTGGTGGGCTTGGTAGTGTTGGGATGGTGGTTGAACCTGATGATCTTAAAGGTTTTTTCCAACCAAAATGATTCTATGAAAAGAAAATTTTGTAATTCTTATGCATTTAGTGTTGCTTACACCGGAAGCGTTCCAGTATGTCCATGATACATACCTTCATACTTTCCCAGTCTTCCAGCTGTTTATTGAAGTGGTGCCGAATCTGATCAGTGGAATAGCTGAGCTTCTGTTCATGCTCTTTAAAAAGACTATCAACTGCCAACCGGGAGACATGAGGGAGTTCCTTCTCAAACAACTTCAGTTGATCATGAAATTCTTTTTGGAAAAGACAGGGTGTTTATGAGATGTGGAAGTATTCATTGCAAGGAAAAAAAACTCGAGTTCAATGTACACTGCAAGGGTCAAACAACCTGGAATTTTCTGTCACAGAGATTCTGTCCCTGGCATTCCTTTTTCCAATTCCAATGCTTTGAGAAACATACACTTGCTAAAAGATGAGACCTCGTACAGGTCTTTCAACTTAGTCAGGTGCCCTTCTGCCATGCTCTTTGTAGCTGATAATATGTAAAAGAGAACATTGGCCCAATTTCCAGTAAAATCAACTGGAGCTTTTCCACTGAGTGTGATGGACTGAGAAAGCTACATAATTCTCCGTCACTGCGATTTTTAGTTTACAAAGCTGAAAAATTACAGACAGAAGAAATTAAGTCTGAACTGAATGAATTTACCTGTGAGACTGGCATTGTAATAATCATCCGTCTGACTTTGGTATGACAACAGACGCTTGTTGAACATTTCTGCACAAAGTTCAAATGACTCTGGCAGACCTTCAGGCATTGTCATTTGACGCTTCCCTTTTCCATAGAACTCCTTCAGGAGGCAAAGATAAAACAGAAAAGTTGTTGATAACACATTCCAACAAGTCACATCCAGGCATACAACCCTAACAGGGATACATAAAGGCTATGTATTTGAGACCAGTTTTCTTCCCCTGATTCTGAAATGCCTAGTTAATATTTATAAAGAAACCCATGGTTAAAAATACACTGTGTCAAATACTATTTAAAAATTAGATGCTCTGGTGAAGAAAGGAAAATTCTTGGAACATTGTAAAGAACCAAATTATGTAGCTGACACATAGGTCCGAGTACAGCTATGAAAGCAAAAGTGACTGCAGAACACTGGTTTTTCTTACCTTGGCAAGGGAGAGCAAGCTGCTATTACCCGTCCAGAGAATATTCCTAATAATCCCCTTAAAAGTACTGAAAACAAACAAAATTTAATAAAAAAAATTAAAAAGTCAATCACACTGTAAAATGTTCACATCGGCAATATTTACTGGTTTTCAAACACTTTGTTCAGGTTTATTTCAATACATTTTTCAGACCACACACAAACAAATACTCAGAATGCCTAAGAACCTTCACCCCCATGAGTACAGATTCTCTTCAGAAGAAGCCAGGATCTGAGCTATCACAAATGCTTACTGGAGAACGCTGTCACCTCACTGTACCAAAAGAGCAATCTTAGCCAACTTCTGTGCTGGAAACTTACCTTGAGAGCTCACCATGCATCTTAGATAATATTTGAAGGTGGGTCTAGTTGTTTACTGTAAGTATTGTGGAACAAAATTCCCAGGCACATAAACATCTTGGGCATTAATTTTAATAGTTTTGCACGGCACATTTGAATTATCTCAATTCTGTATAGTACAGCTGCAACTATTAAGGAAAAAAATGTCACAGTTTTCTTAGAGGAGACTGGAACTGTTTAAAAATCATCTCCTGAACAGTTTGTTCCTTGTTTACTCATATAAATGTAATACTGTAAATACTGTAAAAAATGTAGTTTATAAAATTTATTGATCTTCTTAGAGGTGAAAGTAACTGAAAGACAGGCTGGTTTACGTTTTCCAGACCATTTTTTGTAAGTGTACAAAATGGGTGTCAATAAGGCCATCCACTTCGGACACGAAACAGAATAAAATGGATGACTTTTATATTCACTATTTGTATGCTGCAAAAAGGAACTGTTCTGTAAACACTTTGACCCATAAATATCAAGGTTAAATACCTCAAAACTCAGTGGTGAACTCTATAGATCGTGGTGAACTCTATAGATCGTGATTATAAATAAATAAAGAGAGAAATAGATAGATATTAATTTGCAAAAAACCCACCTATTTCTGCAAATAAACATGACTTACTCAGATTCTGGAGGCTTCTCTCCAAATATCTGGAATCTCTTGACACTGCGAACTGGACTGGTGTGTTTCTGTTTCCTAGGGAGTCAAAACATTAATTTGAAACTATCCACAAGTATCTTTCTTCTCTGGCTGATTATTTGAGCTAGTCAGTCATATCATGGACATGAAACTGAAGAAAAATTCAGAAAATTGTAACTCTAAAACTAGTGTTATATGAAAATAATTTTTTGATTGAAAAAATTCTCAGAATTCTTTCTTCAACGGCTCTTCAAAACTTTTCTGTTTTCACTATTACAGTAGCTCATTTCGTCTATCAATGGACTAAGCTGAAGACACACTATTCAGATACCAGACCTGAAAATGAAGCCATATTGATTTAAGAGTGGGATTAGTCTATATTTCAACAACTTCAATACACAAAACAACTGCAGACAAAGGAGAAAAAGAAGAATATTTTCCCAGCCAAAATCTAAAAAAAAAAATAAATAAATATGCAGAGCTGATCATGAGAACATAAACAGGGAAGAGACCCCAAATGACAAGCACAGATAGAAAGAAGGCTAATACAAAGAGGCCTTAAGAATTTTTCAAAGAACAGGCAGTGGACAAAGTTTAAGTAAATTTCTGCACGGACATACTGTAAGTGGAACTGAATGCCTCCTCTCAGGGGTCCTACCTTCCCGTTGGCATGTTTTTCTTTTTCTTGAAAGACGACCCCTTGCTGGTCTGAGTTGCGCAGCGGGAAGTGGCAGAGCTCTGAGGACCTTCATCAGATACATGTAACTGAGAAGTTCTCTTTGATGTGGGAATATTTGCTTCATATTCAACAAGGAAAGATGAAGAACATTGTATAAATGCTGACCAAAGTCTTTTTTTATGTGGCTTTATAGTTTGTGTTCTCATTTCTAGAATGTTTCCTTACGACACTAGGGGGACAACTGCAGGAGCAATCATTTCTGGCAGACAGAACTGAAGTAATCCAGCAGCGGCAACAGCAATAAAGGTTGTGCACTGGGGTATGAGTAACGGGAACGTCATAGAAGTTATGTGGTAGACGGGAGGAGATTTAAAAGAACATTAAGGCAGGGAATAAGAAGGAGAATAAACGGGCTACATTCATAGTCTTGGCTGTGATGCGGAATTATGAATGTGGAAGACAGAGAGGGTATCTTTGCAAGTGGCTGGAGGAGTCAAGCTCTGGAGAAGAGAGATGAGGAAATGGGAACACTAGGTAGGGGAGCAGCTGGAGTTACCTCTGCACTCACCTTTGAGTGAATGATAATACACTCAGAGGGATGCCTGATCCCCTAAATATTTTCACAGCTTCTCTTCTAATGCTTTTCTCCAACCCTTTTCTCTTTTGCTAGCACAAATACAGTACTCCTTATAAAATTATTATCTCATTCTGCAGCTTTCATTGGTTAAGAGCCAAAAATCCTCTTATTATTGCAAAGTAAAGATGTCCAAGAAAAAAATTGGGATGCACAACTCTCAGAGCTAGCAAGTAAGGCACTGGCCTGGAGCGTGCTAGACTTGCTCCATGATATGTTAGGAACTACAATTTAAACGAATGTAATATATATATATAAAAGAAATGCTGGCACACCTGGCCGTAACGGATGTGAATGATCACCTCTCTCCTCATTTAGGCCTGAAGATTTTCTGGACGGCTCAATTCTGAAACAACACAAAGAGAGCTAAGCAGCTATTGAATACCCTGCCCTTTATATTCTGTATTATATATTACATGGAGAATTATGCAAGTTCTGTATCCGTACCGTGTGCTAAGCGCAGTTAAATTTCTGAGATAATATTTAACAATTACTTTTACAACTGACAGTGTAAATATAAGTACTTTCATGGGAGTAACTAATTGTTTAACTGGAAATTCAGATTTTCTACAAGCAAAACTGTGCATTAAAATATTTAGTTGCAAATCACACACTTTTCATTTCACACTTTGTATGTTCATTCAATTATGTAGCAGGTAATCACCTTTTAACTAAAATTATATAGACAGTATTATAGAAGACAAAAATGTAATACCTAAAATTTATCATAATGCTATTAACTAGATGTTACTTATTACTCACAATGTGATATTTTTGGCTACTATTGTGCTTTTAAAAAGAAACTAGTCTCAGACTGATTTTTAAAGCTAGACTGATCAGAAAGCATGTAGTAGTATTACCTAAGAACAATATATTCAACTGTTCTGTATATACAAAATATGAATTCAGGAAAACCTTGATACGCTTCTGGAATATAAATTTAAAAAATACTATACTGAAGCCCCTTGTAGTGTTATCATGAGCCTCATGAAGAGAAGAGGAATATATAGCAAAGAAAATCTAAATAAAGATAACGACAGAAAAATACCGTTAGGCAAACAAGTACTTACTCAAGTAAATTTTTAATAACCCTTATTGATAAATCATCAAGTGCAGACTTTTCCATTCTGCTTGGATTTAACAAAGGATATTTGACAGGATCCAGCCCCATCACCATCACTTTGTTGTTAACTCTGAGACACTCTGTTCGACTGGCAAGAGCAATTGGACCTTGTAACTCAACGTCCGTTGCAAGAGGGGTAAAGTCCTCCTGAAATGGGAAGTAAAATGAAACCCTGTTGACTGTAGCAGGCAATTAGCAGCACATGTAGTTACTGATCACCAAAGCAGATCTTCCAAACACACACTATTTTGCTTCACAGGCTGAAAGAAAGTTTTTTATAATTCTACTAGTAATGTTGTTAGAGCTATACAACTCTGAGACGCTTAGAAGTAGTTATGAGTGGTTTCTCACCATTATCATAAGCAGTATTTAAGTCTATACCCTTAAAACAACGATCCACTGTAGATCACAAAATAAAGACAGACTTTCCACACAAGGAGGGAAAAAAAAAAATTCCACCTGGTTAATAAAAACCAACTCTCATCAGGACTTATTTAATTTTTTAAAAAATTTAAAGAAATCCATTAAATATGTATCTATGAATAGTGCTACACCTTGAAAATAAACTCTTTTGAAGAACAGAGCGACTCATTGCGATGCTGTGCATCTTTAACATTTAGTAAACTCAGCGGTGACTGATTTACTCAGCCTCTTAAAAAAGCTGACCTAATGTTACAGTATCTTGGACAGCCTGGCATAAAGCAGCATCTTTATTCATTTGAAATTTCAAAGCACAGATTCTGAAAAACCTTTAAAACATACACATAAAAATTCACTCAATATTAAATAAAATACAGAGAACTTAAACGCTGTCTTACATCAGCACGTGGGCTCATTGCTTTTACTAGCAAGCAGTCAAGGTACTGGCTCCTCTTTTTCAGCTCTTTCGACACTCCTTGGGTAAAATCATACCACTCTTCAGAAGTCAAAGCCTGAAAGATATGATAATACAGGTGGTATTTACTAAAATAGCATTTTCAGTAAATACAACATCGTTTGATTCTGTTCTGTCACCATTTTATTTGCACCTACACGGAAGCAATGAGAGTGAATAGAGGCTGAGGTTTTTGTTTGGCAAACAAGAAAACCGGAGCTTCC